ACCTAACTCCTATGTATTAATGATGAAGTATAAGGTGGTGTTTGAGTACAGGTGTGCGTAGAGTATACTCGATATTCTCTTTCCTTATGTATTTGAGTGGGTTGAGTATGGAGAGTTAGTGTTTACTTTTAGTGACAGTGTGAGAAAGACATTAGAGTGATTTTGAGGTACAAGAGAGACAGAGATTAAAGGGGTGTATTGGGTACAGATCTTTGGGGAATTTGAGGGTACATTTAAGGACCTTAGGCAAAGAGCCCCCAAACTTATATTTAGAGTGAGTTGGGTTATACATGCATAGGGATGGTTAGAGGCAGGCATCTTCACCCCTATAGCTGGCTGGAGTGGTTGTATGGATCTGGGTTCTAGTGCCAGTTCCCAAGAAGCTGGGATGACCAAACCAAGATAATGAGAGGTATCTGATCAACACAATTTTGAGCCCCTGGCATTCTCCACAGGAAAAGAGAATGTCTGGGGCTAAAGGACCAGGTTCAAAGAGACTCAGAGTATGAGAGTTCATGAGGCAGTCTGCAATACCACAAATAGTCTGTCATCAGGCTCATACTAGACGAAGCTTGCTTTTTAGCTAACGAATTAAAAAAAAAGTCTGTGTACTGACTTGTGTTTGTTACTATGTTTATGTTCTGTTCTGATGCCTCATCATCACGTGGAAAATGACTCTAGGTGCTGCTCCCAGGTTATAACAACAGAATGTGGACTCTAACAGATTTACTGACATGGAAACAGTAGCAAAAATAAGCTGGTATTTTATCTAATACTTTTAAAGTTTGCGAATCACTTTATGTATGTGATCTTATTTGATTTTCACAATAACCCTGTGAAACAAGTTGGCATCATTCCCATTTTACAAATAAGGAAGTGAAGTTGAAAGAAATTAGTTGACTTGTTCGTGGTCACAGGGTTAATAAATTTAAGAGGTAAAATTTGAACCCAGATATCTTCTTTCTTTCCACCATATTACACTGCTTTCAAAAGATTTCAGCTATGATTTCAGTCATATTTGCTATCCACAGATGAATCTAGCTAAATACAAACTCATGAATTCTCTGGCCATAGCAACCAATGAAACAAAGTAAAATGCAATATGGCACTCAACACTATCTGGTCATCTTGTGCTTCTGCAATGACAATAGCAGATTGAAAAGGAGGATAGAAAGAACTAAGAACTACTGTTTTTAGATTATCTACAAACTTTAACTGTTATTATTTTAAATGTGAAATCCAACAAATTGACATAATACTGGAGGAATTAAATCATGTAAATATTGACATTCTTGCTAGAAAAAAGAAGAGAAAGATATGAGGAAATTCTAGCTGAATGGAAGTATTCATAGGGTTTCCTTTGCGGGACAAATCAAGGGTGCTGCCAGAATTGGTTTAAGGTGCTAGCACTAAGTGAATTTTTTAAAATGAAGTTTCACTCTCTGAATCAAAAGCGGAAACATGATTAGCTGTGTCAAAAATTAGCTATGTTCTGCATACTTTAAACAGTTAAGCTTGACAGTTCCACATTGTAGAGAAGTTGAGGCAAGAGATAATAGCTTGTAATAAACAAAGCTCTTTACCTCTTGGGGGTAAGGAGAGAATTTTTCCACTGAAGAATCAGTTTCAGAATGCTGGAGGCATAGTTGAGGGAGTAGAGGCTGCACATACTCCAAAGATATGGTTATAGAAAGGCAACCAGTTATGACAAGAAGTAGCTTCAAGGAGCATGAGTATGCAAGCAAAGTGAAGAGTTAGTTCTAGATTCAGGGAAAATGAGGCTTAGCAATAGAGAGTTGAGCTTTATGAGGACTCCACTAGGAGAGGAAGGACTTTTAGGCAACGCAGTACTGGATGAGTGAGTAGCTTTGACTACGTGTTTTCCATATTTGTCTTACTACCATTGTACTTTAAGGTTATGTCCATTCAGTCTCCCTAGGACACTGTGTATTTGTGGGAAAACGTGCCCCAAGTTTATGGAATGAGTACTTTATAGCTACTGTTTTCATTATTCTACTTTAGTAAATGCCTTTACTGAAAAGTAATTGTGTCTGGCTCTTAATTGAAAGTACACTGGCAGGGGCCTGGGAACAACAGGAGCAGGAACCTGGACCACAGGGTTCCCTAGAACGTGAAATTAGTGATCTTAGCTTGCAAACTTGTAAGCATTGAGTTGGGGGAGGTAGCCCAAAGTTTACCTAAAAATACTACATAAAAATTAGAATTAAAGGGAGAATGTGGATTATCATCATTTCTTAAAGAATATAGAAACTGATATAAAACAATTGCCACATTAAGAGAAGCAAGAGAACTCAAACAACGTTAGCTGATCTTGCCAAGCAGAATGACATTACTGTTAGGAACTGTTCCTTGCAGTCACATTAGTCTCACTAACTTCCACTCCCACCTTATCCATAATACCTTGACTTTTTCTTCCCAAAATAAAATTAGAAGAGTTAACCAAATGCCTTGTCTGCACTTGCTCCATTCTGAAGCTGAATCCCAATGGACAACGAAAATCTACTTCAATTAAGTCCTCAATGATGAACATACTTCTATCCCATCATTCCATCCCATCCCATCCCATCCCATGCCATCCCACGCCAGTGTTTCCTAACTCCTGCTGTCATTGTTCAAATCTCATTCTCGGCTCCCACTGGATGTTTCCTTATTCCCTTACTTCTCAGACCTTCCCCTCAATGTCACACTTAAAAGCTACCCATCCTTTCCACAGGATGCCTGCTTCATAGGTTACAAACTAATTTTCATCTTAATTTTTTTTCTTTCCTATTCATTTCTTCTTCTGTCTCTCACTGAGACCTGACTCCATTGACGACATAGTCTCCATGGCCTTCCTTTTTAGCACTGGTTATTCTCTCATTCATAGCCAACCCTCATTGCTCCTCACTACCATTTCCAGGCTCTCCATCTACCACCATCACTCAGAAGCCACTCCTTCGAAGGTCATTCAATCCGTATTTATCACCCAATGAAGATTCTGATGGCTATTGTCCACCAATCTTCAAGATATTTTCTTCCTCAACTCATTAAGTTTCTGGCTCACTTTCTGGTTTCTCTCCTCCACAACTCTTGCTCTTTATACCAGAGCACTTCAAAATACATAATGATACTTCCTACCCTAACCACCCAGTTCTTCAATTTGCTCATTTTTCATGACCTACTCCTCCACCCACTCCACTAACACACAGACATGATCAGACCATTGATCTTGCCATCACTGATAAGAGCTTTACCTCCAAGTTCGTGAACTCTGAAATTCCTTCATCTGGTCATTTGTTGTTCAGTTATTTTTCCAATCAAGTCCAACTCTTTGTGAACCCATTTGGGGTTTTCTTGGCAGAGACAATGGAGTGGTTTGCCATTTCCTTCTTATCTGATCATAATCTATTGTCATTCTACCTTCCCCTCTACCATGTAACTCTAAGCACTATCTTTCATCCTTACCACAACCCCCAAACCTTCCACACTCACTAAACACACTTCTCTTCTGATTTTGACCCTTTGGTGAGCCAGTTACACTCTACACTCTCCTCTTCATTCCAGTTACAGGGGTGAGGAACCTGCAGCCTCAAGGCCATATGTGACCCTCCAGGTCCTCAAGTGCAGTCCTCTGACTGAATTGAAACTTCACAGAACAAATCCTCTTCTGTAAAATTTGGATTCAGTCAAAGGGCTGCATTTGAGGACGTGGAGGGCCACATGTGGCCTTGAGGCCACAGGTTCTTCACCCTCTTATCCTTGCCCTGCCAAGCCTCAAGCTTTGCATTACTCCTACCATTCACAGCACCACTACTCAAACACTATCAAATAGAATTGGAGAAAATGATGATTGCTGACTGGGCTTATTACAAATTTGTTATGTAATTGTAACTGGTTCCTCAATGTAGTAAGGCAATCTTTGTATACCTCCCTAATCAATTCACTATTGCACTCACCACAATGGTTTTTCTGAACCTTTCATCCCTCTTCAAATCTTTTATAGCTTCCTATTCCTCATGCCGCAGTTGAGAACTTTGCCTCATACTTCACTGGAAAAAAATGAGACCATTTGGGAAAAACTTTCTTCTCCCCTCATTTTCTCACATCATCCAGATGTGCTTTGTTATTATCTCATCCTTTATCCCTCTTTCACAGGAAGAGGTGGCCTTTCTTCTTGCAAACCCTTCTAAATGCACAGTAATCTCATTTCATCCAATCTTTTCCAGCAGATTGCTTCTCTTTCATCCCTACTCCCTTGCTTATCCTCAATCTATTTCTAAAGACAACAAACATTCTTATCTCCTTCATCTTCAAAAAATGTCCATCTCTGCTATCATCTTATATTTCTCTTCTGTTTCATGGCTAAAGTCCTTAAGAAGGCCCTTTGGTGTCTACACTCCCTTTCACTTTCTTCTTTCTCTACATTTTGGTTTTCAACATCATTCATTTGAAACTGCTCTCTACAAAGTTACCAGTGTCTCTTAATGGCCCAAGAATCTTTTCTTAGTCCTCATCCTTTTTGAACTCCTTGCAGCCTTTAAAATTGTTGATTACCTTCTCTTCTATTCTCTTTCCTCTATGAGTCTAACTATTCCTTGTTCTCCTTTGCATGATCAGCATACAGGTCATGCTCCCTAATAATTGGTGTCCCCAAGGAGCTGTCCTGGCTCCTCTTCTTTTCTCCCTCTATTCTATTTCACTTGGTTATCTCATCTGCTCCAGTGGATTTAGTTGTCATCTCTATGCATACATGCAGATGAGTCTCAGATGTATTTACCTCTATACTTTCTCCTGATGTCCAGTCTTGCATCTTCAAACTGCCTAGTGGACATCTCAAACTGGATGTTCTATAAATATCCTAAACTCAATATGTCTAAAACTGAATGCATTATTTGCTCCCACACCTCAGAAAAAACAACTCCTCTCTTCCTATTTTTCCTATTACTGTCTTTATTTGGGTGAAAGTACTTTATAATTATTTTATAATTTTTTTTCAATAGCTAAATGTAGCAGAGTGTTATTGCACCATAAGAAATGATGAAAGGGACTATGTCAACAGTATTCTGGGTACTATGAACTAATGGAGAATGAAGCAAGCCAACCCAGGGGAATAATTTGCTCAAGGATAACAACATTGTAAAGAAAAACAACTTTAAAAGACTTAAGAATGCTGATCGATGCAGAGACCAACAATGTTTCCAGAGGACCTTTGGTGAAGCATGTTATCTACCTCTTGACAGAGAGGGGATAGACTCAAAGTGATGAAAGAAATATTTGGGAATGGCCAACATGTGGATTCACTTTGCCCAACCATGTTTCTTTGTTACAAAGTTCCCCCCCTCCAACATTTTTAAAAGTTGAGGTGGTGGGAAAAGGTTAGAAACAATAATGAAAACAACAAAAAAGGGCCTTTTAATATTAAAAAAAAATTCACAGAAGGGAACAAAAAAGTTCAGAAGGAAGCATAAAGAAGGAAGCATAAATAAGCCAGACACTTTGAAAGTAATTTGTAGAATTTATTACATATACATATATATATATACATACATATATATATATATATATGAAGCAAATAGTATGAAATAGAGGTTCACAGTTTCATATATAATCTTAAGACAAACATAAGAACTGATAAATACAATAATGCAATAACCAACCATATCTTCATAGAATCTGCGATAAAGCATGTTACCCACCTCATGACAGATGATGGACACATGGGGCAGAGACATACAATTTTGGACATGGCAACTGATTGCATTTATTTTTAATTGGGGGTGGGAAGAAGGGATTTAGTAATAATGATATTCCCCCCAAAGAGGGTAATTATAAATTTCCACAGAAAAGAGAATAAAGTTCAGAAGAGATAAACAGAAGTTTTGGAAGTAATATGTAGAGTTTATTTTATCCCCTCCCCCCCCTTTTTTCCAAAGCAAGGAGTATAAAATGTAAATTCAGGTTCATTTAGAATTTTTTTTTGTTCTGCTACGTGAATGGAAATACTCCGTTTCGAGTGTATAAGCTCAGAATAAAAGATGTATAGAGAACTAATACAAATATGTAACACCAAAAGTTATTGCCAAATGCAAATTAACAACCATATGAAAGATTGTTCCAAATCACCAATAAGAGAAATGCAAATCCAAACAACTCTAAGGATATACCTCACAATCTGCATATTGGCAAAGATGACAAAGGTGGGATTAGTCAGTGTTGGAGGGTGAAGCACTAATGCACTGTTGGTGGAAGTGGGAGTTGGCATTATGCTCTCAGTGATGAAAATGTTCATATCCTTTGGTCCAGAGAGCACATTACGAGGCTACCCAAGTGGGTCAAAGATAGAAAGGGACAAAATGCACCAAGACGTCTATAGCAGCACTTTTTGTAATATCAAAGAAATAGAAACAAAGCCCATTAACTGGGGAATGACTGAACAGTGTGGTATGTGAGTAAGTAGTACATTACCATGCCATAAGAAATTAATATGGGGGCAGCTAGGTGGTGCAGTGGATAGAGCACTGGCCCTGAAGTCAGGAGGACCTGAGTTCAAATTCAGCCTCAGACCCTTGATATTTAATAGCTGTGTGACCCTGGGCAAGTCACTTAACCCCAATTGCCTAACAAAAAACAAACAAGAAATTAATATGAAGAATATGTGAAAAGACTTACATAAAACTGGTGTGAAGTTTAGCCAACAAGTAAACAATATACACAATACCAACAATGCAAATGGACAGAACAATAACAAAAAAACAAAAAGACATATGAGAAAACCCTTTCCTTTTCTTCTTTGCAGAGATGGGTGATTATTGATGAGGAACACTGCATATAGCATTGGACTTGATTTGCTGCATTGGTTAGTTTTGCTCCCCTTTTAAAAAAATTCTTTGCTACCAATTTAGAATGTTTCTGTGTGGGAAAGAGGGAGGGAGGGCTCTATTGGGAAATAAAGGTGAAATAAGGACAAGAGATAGCAATAAAAAATTATTATTTTTTGGCTAGGCAATGGGGTTACTTGCCCAGGGTCACACAGCTATTAAATATCAAGGGTCTGAGGCTGAATTTGAACTCAGGTCCTCCTGACTCCAGGGCAGTCTCTATCCATTGTGCATCTAGTTGCTCCAGTAACAGAAAATTTAAAATGTCACCTTTAAAACAATAGATTAAATTCGTTCATTATTTGTAAAAATATATCCTGGTTAGCATAAGACATCTTAAAAGTTCAACACTTTTAAGTTCTTTGCTGAGAGGTAACTAGAAGAGAAAATGTGGACAAAATGTGAAATGTAAGTAATCTTTTTAGGTTAAAAGTTTTTTGGAGGTTTTTGGTTTGTTTTGGCCAAATAAATACTACAGAGTAAAGTGTTTGTGCTTTTCCTAATACTTGACTCTAGAACTGAAAATGTTTTTGCAGTATATTACATATTTCTTCTCGCACGTCTTTTTCAAATACTTCTTAGTGTTCCTATGGATTATTTCACAAACTTGGGGATGAAGTTTATAGATATTGAAAATGAGCAGGTGAATCTCTCAAATATTCAAATGGATCTGTAATGTCCCTGTTTTGGAAGTTCTCTCAAAAGATTACAAACACTTATTAAGTGCCTACTAAGTGAAAGTTACTATGCTAGGCATGAGGGATACTCTCCTCTCCCCCTCAGTTCCTGCCCACAAAGAGCTATATTCCATTGAGAGACAACAGGTACATAAATATGCCCAGAACACATACAAAATTACTATGGGAAGTAGAAGGGGCCCTCAATTAAGAGTCAAAAGATCTGGATTATTGTTCCAAGTCTATCTCTGATGAGCTGGGTGACTTTGGGCAATTAATTTAACCTCTATTTCCTCATCTGTTAATGCTACCCTCTCTCCAGTGACACTGCCATCACTTAACATTTCATGCCTGGTTGACTGCAATAGCCTGCTGGTTGGCCCACCTGCCACAAAACTCTTCCCATTCCAGTCCACCCTCCATTCCGTTACTAAAGTGATTTACCTAAAGTACAGGCTCAATCATGTCACCCATAATAAACTCCAATGTTTCCTTGTGACCTCCAGGGTCTAATATAGTTATCCTCTATTTGGCATTCAAAGCCCCTTTATAACCCAGCCCACCCCACACCCCCAACTTGCCTTACCAGTCTTCTTACACATATTCTTTGATCCACTGACACTGGCCTCCTGGCTGTTCCATGAAAAAGCCACTCCATCTCTTCAGCTTGCTCTAGACTTTTTCTCTGTCTTCCATGCTTAGAGTGCTCTCCTCATCTTTGCCTTCTGGCTTGTCCTTCCCAGATAAAACTCTTCCTTTTAATAGGAAGCCTTTACAAATCTTTCTTAATTCTGATGGCTTACCTCTATTGATTATTTCCCATTCATCTTGGAGATAGCTTGTTTGTAAATAGATGTTTGCATATTGTGTCCCCCATTAGATTGTGAGCTCCTTAAGGGCAGGGAATATCTTTTGCCTTTCTTTTTTTGTATCTCCAGAACTTAGCTCATAGTAGGCATTTAATAAATGCTTACTGACTAAACAGAAATAACTCCCTCACCTTACTGGCTACTGTAAATAAAATTAATGGGATATGAAAGTGCTTTAAATATTATATACAAAGTGCCATTAAGTGAAAGGTGATATGATTATGAAAATCTGGTTGGAGAACCAGGGGCATTCTCAACGCCAGTACTTGTGGACTGCAACTAAACCAGTTCTTTAAAGGGTTCCAGCTGCTTCTGTTCTTGTGGGAAGTAAGGTTGAAGTTTCCTAGACTGGGAAATTCATGTAAGCTCCTCTTCATAGGAATTATAACTGTTGTGGAACAATTCATTTTCCCATCCTCTTTTTAAAAGACAAAAACCCAAAAAAGAAACCGCCACCCCCACCTCTTTATTCTTTAAATGCTTATCAACAAAGAGGATCTAGTTAAGAAATCATAAAAGTTGGCCTCTAAGAGAGGCCTAATGGTGTAGTAGAAGGAGTACTAGCCCAGAAGCTAAGAGAGATAAGGTATTTTCCGCTGTGTAATCTTAGGCAAAGTCACTTAACATTTTTGGATTTTAGTTTCTTCGCCTGTAATATGAAAGCATTGGGCTAGGTGGTCCTTAAATTTTTTTAGCTTCCAAATTCTGATTTATGATGAAAACATAATACAAATACACTAAGGCATTAGCCACTGAGAAATCTGAGATTTCCTGGGAGGTCGTTAGTTCTTTGAATCTACACAACTGGGTCTTTATATTTCTGCTTCATTTGAAGTATACAGATACCAGATGATAAAACACTTTCTTTACTGGTTTCTCAGATGAAATTTTGAGGGTACAGATTGAATTGAGTTGCCCCACAACAACTGAAACTGTTATATTTTAGTATTGGTAAAGCTGTGAATTGGTCCAACCAGTCTGGAAAACAATTTGGGATTAGACTAGAGTAAACACATGACTAAAATATCTATTCCCTTTGATCCAGAGTTTCCACTATTAGTGTATGCCCCAAGAAGGTTAAACTCAAAAAGGTCCCATATACCTTAAAATATTTGTAGCAGCATCTTTTTGTGATTGCAAAGAAATGGAAACAAAGTTCAGTTAGGGAATGGTTAAACAAACTGTGGTACATAAATGTAATGGATATCACTGAGCCATAAGAAACAATGAATATTATGAATTCAGAGAAGTTAAGACTCAGATGAAATGATACAAAGTAAGACGAACCAGGAAGATAACTTACAAAATGACTACAACAATGTAAATGGATTAAAAAACACCCTATGTTTTATAATTATAATGATCTATCTTGGTACCAGAGAAAGTTGAGAAAGAGTATCTTCTTTCTCTTTTGGTGGATGTGGGGGACATATATCATCAGATGTGAGCTGGTGAGCTTTGCTGAATTGTTTTTTTTCCCTGACTTTAATTTTTATCATCATTATAAGGAATTGTTCATGGGATAAGAGAGGGAAGAAAGGTACTTGGAAATGAGAATGATATAAAAATAAAAGATAGCAACGTAATCTTAGAAATTAAAAGGCCCCTTCCCTCCAGGTTACTGTATTAGTTTGCTGAATGAAAGTTGATGGCAATTAGGTTGAAGGGCCTTGAGACCGTGCAATATGATTAGCTAAAGGAGCAAAGGAAATTTAGTCTGGAAAAGAAAAGATTTAGGGGAGATACATTATCTGTCTTCAAATATTTGAAGGCCTATCTCTAGAAGGTTAAGATTTATTCTATTGGCACCAGGAGCTGCAAAGAGGAAAATTTAGCTTTGTTACAAGGACAAACTAGGCTTTCCTCACTAGAATTTTCAAACAGAGAGTAGATGACTATAAAGGTGGTTCTTTTTAAAGGTATGGGTTGAACTAGATGGACCCTGAGGTTCCTTTCACCCGGATTTTGAGTCAAGGGACCTGAGTTTAAATCTAGTCCTTCCTCAACTTCTGTGACATAGATCAGTCTACAGAAGTACATACAGAGCTACCCAAAAGTCTGAG